CACTACTTGTCTAGCATACAGTTATTTGGAATTGTATACGTTAGAGATTTCAGGTATTGATTAAAGCATTAATCTAAAGTTGATTCATCTTCAATCAGCTAACAATTAATCGAAAATGGACTGTTGTGTATCAGTCTCTACTTTTTTACTGCCTAAAAATTGTTGACTGAGTTTATATAGATGCTATTTGTAGCGAATTATTACCTAAACTAATGACCAGATACAGTTTATAGAGAAGAAATGTATTATTCTCTACAAAAGGCCCGTCCCTGAAGTGAAGCGGTATGACAGTCTGCCATCTTGAAAGTACAGACTTTAGTGAGAGATAAAAAACACTTAAGTGCGGAACAACAACACGTTTCCTTTTGCTGATTGTTCAGTGCACTTCTGCAGCAAAAAGCAGGACCATGGATATGCAGCAGCAGCAAAATAAATTGTTTCATTATCCCTAAGAAAATTAAAACTTTTATCGGGTTATGGTAACGAGAGGATCCAGTGCAGAACAGGGGAAATGAAAGGAATATATACTGAGGCAGTATATAATAAGAGGCAATAGGTTACAGATAAGGAAAAGGGAGACTAGAAATAACTTAAAGACCTAAAATAATTACATTTTATTTATAAGAAATTTATTTTATTAGAACATTTATTTTTATAACAAAGAAACACTCTACGGAAAACTACTGGTTTAATATGAGTGCCTTCTATTTGCAGAAAATATATAAAGTTTTCTACAATTGAGGAGTGAGAAATGTAACAACTCTGGACATTAGGTGCCATCACAGAAATGCAAGCTGGACATTGATGATGGGACACATTATCCAGAGTCTTACCCATTAAAAGTAGGAATATATATATTTTTTATGTATAAATTGAAGTGCAACATGTTAGCATGCATTAGTATTGCCATGATGTAATATCTATATATTATATTATCAGTAGCTTGTAACATAATTTATATATAAAAAAAAAAAAAATCTGTGTCACAATGGGTTGGGGGTTTGACACAACCCAAATGCAGAAACAAAAGCTTGAAGTGGTTACTTGAAGGTTTAATAACAAAAGTGCAACAGAAGCAAAAATCCAAAACTTAAATCCACAGAAATACACAAAAACTGAGAACCAGGAATACTTACAAAAAGGGGGCAAAGAAATGACGTCAAACAAGCAAAGAGTGACTGAACAGCAGGACAATACATGGGAGAAAGAAACAAAGACCTGGCTAATTAGTAGATTGGGAGCAGGTGTGAACAGAGGAGGCAAGAAGGGAGCTAGGGAAAAGGAGACTGACACAGGAGGGCAAAGAAGAAATATCTAAGAAGTGAAATAAAATCAAAAGTAACTAGAACACAAAAATGGAAATAAGACCAATGAACACTCAGAGATAAAACTTTAACAGAACCAAAACCATGACATTCCGCTTTATTGGTTGGCCCAGTAACTTTTTCACTTGGCAGAAAAAAACTTTTTTTTATCCTATTTAATGGGAGTAATTTACCAGTACTGTCATGTTAGAACATTGCAATTGAAGGTAAGTTGATGTAACATTTCTAATTCAGGGAGAGCAACTTTGAGTTGGGATTACTTCATGAAGAGTTTTCAAGCCAGTTTAAAAGCTAATTTTGTTACTGTTTGCAGTGCCATGTTGATGAAGGCTTTGGTGTGGGCCGATCAGGACCACATAATTCCTGCACATTAAAATAAATCCCTGTTTTAGAGATTAAGCTCCTACATTCAATGAGTGAATGAGAGCTTGTTACATCAACTCAGTCATGCAAGTCTCCTCTAAAACCTTTCATAAACTGAGCTTTATGATTGCTATTCAAGCTAACATTATTAACTATTTCCTAGCCTTTAACTTAGATGAACTTTCATGCATTTTTTTTGGAAAAGTGTTTTCGCTTTTAAGGTTAAGGTTTCGGGGCCAAAATACAGATACATAGTGTTATACACCAAACTGACTCAGAACAGCTTCAGCAAGATCAATCTTTGTAAACAAGCTGAACCATAAAAATGTCCTAATGCACAAATCTTTTCGTTTATGGGAAAGAGTATTGGTTATATACGCAGTAAAACAGCAATCTGAGAAGATTTCATCGAATGCATTCAGTTGAGTTATGCAACCTTTCTCCTTTCCAGTATTGTTTTGTTTTCAAGTATAAAAATTATGTTTTTTTTTTTTTTTTTTTGTACAGTCGGCTAACCGCAAAGGAGGTACAAGAGAGGGGAATGGGTCGTAAAAGCACACCCCAACTTTGCTTTTTTTTAAATAAAAAATTCAAGTCAGATTACAATAAAAAAAGTAGATAGCGAATAATCAAATGTGCTTCAACAAAAACATAATAAAACACGCCTCTGTGTTATTGAATCATATTATGTATTGAAATACTGTACATCCTAAACCAAACCAAAACCTGAATCAGAGACGTCGAGACACTCCTGAAAATCTATAAATTCTGCCTCATACCTGTTGTAACTAATTCCAGTTATTTCTCTAAAATGTATGGCAGTCTTTGCATTGTACACAAGATCCTGCAAAAGAAATGATACAAATAACGTAAAAGTAATATCCAAATTTAATTTAGATTAAGAGACCTTAATGTGGAGTTGCAGGCAGTTAAATACAATATTAGAGCAGGTAAAAGACAGATAGCCTACATGAAGTAAATATAAAGCTAAAAGCTATTCTAAAATATATTTAGTATATGACTCCAGATCACTCAGTTTACATAATATAACCAAGTATTAAGTTCAAAGCAAAACTGAGAACAAAACAAATATGGGGCTAAAAAGGAAATCTGATCTTGAAATACGTTGTGGGCTGCAGGCGCCGTTTCCCATGGCAACAGCTTTTGTCTGATTTAGATGATGTGCTGAGAGAGATAGAGATAATCAATGGAGATTGTTAAATGTTTAGTCTTTAATGGCTTATAGAGAGAGCACATTTGGCTATGGATCTCTGAAGTTGTCATCTTAAAGAAAAAACAGAATCAGAAATCCTTTTTGACATTATGAAAATTATGTTAGCATATTTGTTAACTTTCTGAGGCATGTCAGGAGGTGGATCGCTTATAGTGGTAGAAAGTAATCCTAGAGAGAAGTTTACAAATATGTACATAGCAACGAGGTGTCCTAGTGGTTAAGGCATTGTGCTTGGAATCCAGAGGTTCTGAATTTAAGCCCCAATGCCACAGCCTTCACTCTGGGTCGCTGAGCAAA